TCAAAACAGGGTTTGTTTTTTTTTTTTTTCTGGGGGGTAAGAAGGGAGTCAAGATGAAGCCTCAGAAGTGAAAAGGCTGGAAATTGCTAATTGGAAAAAAAAAATTCAGAAGGTGGCCAAAGGGTAGAGACCAAAAAACTAAATAGAATTAGAAAGGAAAAAAGAAAACAAGAAATCTGAAGGAAGGACTAAAAGGAGCTTCTTTTATTAAGCCCCTGTTACACATCAAGGCCTTATTCCTTTTTTAAAGGCCTTATTCCTTTATAACCTTAGTTGTCTTCCCATTGACAGATAAGGAAACTTGTGTTTCAGATGACTAGCTCAATGTCACAGTTTGTGTTGGGGCTGGATCCAAATCCAGTTTTGTTTGACTCCAAATCCCACAAATAAGGAAGAGCTTAGGTTGTGTTCACCATGCATGTGTGTGCGTCCCATGTTCCCACTCTAGTGTGAATTCCTTCCTGGGTTGGATCTGAGCAAGCCCTTAGTGATCTGTGGGACCACAGAGTATGTACGTTTATGTCAACTGAACATATTCCTTCCAGTCCTATATTGAATATCTCAGGAGCCTCCCCATCACAGCACCCCCAGAGGTGTTTGGGCTCCACGAGAATGCTGACATCACCAAAGACAACCAGGAGACCAATGCGCTGTTCCAGGGGGTGCTGCTGACTCTCCCCAGACAGACAGGAGGGAGTGGCAAGTCCTCTCAGGTAACCTGGTTTGAGTTCAATTTCCCAGGCAGTTTTCATAAGGGGATGAGGCGCAAGACTGTGGGTGATGAGCAAGAAGGCAGAAAAGTGGAGGCCTGGCAGTCCTTGGAGGGAGGGCACAGATGTTTCCAGAATGTGAGCCATTCTGGCATAATTTACGATTTGTTGCTTTACCCACATATTAGCTAAACTCCCTTTACATATTTTAAAACCAACTCTACTTGGCTTAAAATCATTTATTTTAAAATTACACATCAGTACTATTAATGGAAACCCAGTCCCATTTCCATAAAGTCATGACAGCCACAAAGAAAAAAAAAGTTAAACACTTACCAGGCACTTTCCAAATGCTGCTGCTGAGGCCTTGCTGGCCTCTTGCAAAAGGGAAGAAACAGCAAGTGTTAAAGGGTGTTTAGCTAGCACTGGCCTGAGACTTTCTCAAAAGGAAGGAAAAGAGAAAGGTGGCCAAAACTGGAAAGAAGGCGACTTTCACACCATGTGATTCAATATGATTTGCTTTATATCCTGGAAGCACCTGGAATCACTTTTGGGGCATCTCATGGTCAGTTTGCCATCCTCAGTCTACAAATGGGGGTAAAGCAAACCCTGTGAGAGGATGTGACTTGTTTCAAGGCATCCGTAGACTCAACAGCAGAGGCAGAAACAGAACCACCAGCTGATGACTCTACCACACCTTCCTCTCTCCCACCCTCCCCTTCTCTTCTCCACCTTCTAAGCTCTGCCATGTCAATTCTTCAGCTGTGCATTTTGCGTATTTGGTTTTTTGCGTATTTGGTTTCTTGATTGGTTTATAGTGCTAGAAGTAGGAATAGCTCTGAAGGAAAACTAGCTTGGTTGGGGTGTCTCAATTTAGGGGTGGAAATTCCCTTAACAGTGGAAAGTGGGGAAAGGAATGTACATTTCAGACCTGCAGAGCCCACACCCAGGTCCTGCTCATCCTCATTCCTCTGGGCCTGTCCCTCCATAGTTGGCAAAGTCACTGCTCAGAGCTGTTCTTGTTCAATGCTGAGGAATGGCCTACTGCCTTCCCAGGTGTACTTGTTTAAAACTGTCACTGAGCAAGAGTCCCATCTGTATTAGGAGTTAGTCCTCAGAGACCAGCTGTGAGAGCTGTGGGAGATTCTCACCCAGGAATGACTTAGAGGCAGGAGGAGTTCTGCAGTTTTCTGGGCTGCCCCGAGGCAACCTAGCTGAGGCCAAGCAGTTATTCTTGGCCTGGCCCTCAGGCCCTTGCTCCATTTACTTTCTGGGCCAAAAGGTGATATCTTCCCCCAAAGCCGGGGTGAGGTAGTTGTCTAAGACCTCTCCCCCGCTCTTCACCAGAAGAATTGGTTTCTGTAGGAATATCCCCAGGAAGGTCCAACAGACTATGTTTATGACAAATGCAGACTGCTTCAAATTTACCCAAAGTCACAGACCACAGACTTGTTATTGACTTCTCTGCACTTTAAGGAAGTGATTGAGGAGCTGACCCAGGATATACTCTCCAAACTTCCCAAAGACTTTGACTTGGATGTGGTCATGAAATTGTACCCTGTGGTCTATGAGGAATCCATGAACACCGTCCTGAGGCAGGAGCTCATCAGATTCAACAGGTGGGCCAGATGGAGTGTGAGGGGTGGGATCTAATTAGCAGTAACCTAGATAAACACTGGATAAGGGGTTTCTATGTGGAGGAAATGGTTTGCCCTGCCCACAGAAAGGGCTATAAATAGGACCATACCAACAGGTATTGGCCAGGATAAATCATTCCATCTATTCATTCTCTCCCACTCATTCATTCATGTGATATCTGTAAAGTCAGGTTAAAACTAATATCAAGCACAAATAAAAGAAATCATTGCAGCCACTTTCATCAAGCCCTTGCAGATGTTTGCATCTAGCCACTGAGCAGTTTTTTGAAACATGCTGTTAGTAATTCCACTACCACCATTTTACAGATGAGAAAACTGAGATGCAAAAAGATTAACTACTGCAAGGCCATAAAGTCATTCAGTAGAAAAACTGAATTTGAACCCAGGCTGTCTGATCCCAGAGCCCATGCACTTAGCCAGTATGTGAAATCAGGGTATATGGAGCAAGAGGAGGGGAGAAGTTCATCCTACTACCTATTCCACAGAGGCAGAGAAGGGGTATTATGGGCTGGCTATGGGGCTCCCTCCTCACTTCTCCAGTTACTGTATATATAGCATTGAGCTTTGTGGGATTATCTTTTTCTTTTGGTTCAATAAAATAAAAATATCCACATTTTATTTACCAAATGAAAAGTATTTTTGAGTCAACAAAGCAAATGGATGACTGATAAGCCACCTAACAAGTTAAGAATGACACTTTAAGCAGCAACTCAGATTACCCTGAGTTATCAGTGACATAAAATTAAAAACCAGTTTAGTGCTGGGGTGCAGACTGAGGGGAGAATGTAGCCAATTTATCAATGTAGTAGAAATATCTCGGTGATGTCCGTGGGATTGTCTTGATTGACTTAGTCAAAACTGAAAGGGCCCCAAAGACCATCTAGGCCAGAGAACTGATCACTTCTACCTCCAAGGTTCTTACTGCTCCAAACTTTCCATGTGTTGCCTTCTCCATTTGCCTCATTAGTCATTGCTCAGCTTTAGGGATAACTCTGCCTGTGAAGGAGTAGGGAACTAGAAGAATGTCATCTAAGAATTTCTTGGCTTTCCAAGTCTTAGGGTTCCTCTCTAGATTCAGTAGGTAGTTGGCTGTATGGAGGACTAAGCAAAGTACAGAGTGTAAGCCTAGGATGGTGCACTACTGTGGTGAGTCAGAGAATTTGGCACATACATCTAGACACCAGGCCTAATGGTTTTTCAGTCCCTGTTGAAGTCACTGGAGCTCATCCTTGCTGGCTGCAGGGACTTTCACTAGCCTTGTCCAGTGGCCATTGTAATATAAGCAAACAGGGTGGGTAAGTGCAACCTTATTTTCCAGTGATAGTCAGGATTAATCACACTTGGCAATACTCTTAACATTCCTTTCCACTACCTTTTTGGCCTGTTCACCCAGTGGTAAAAGAAGCCCCATATGACTAGGTGACAGTTCAGTTTCCAATTCAGAGGGACCATTATACCATTATTATCTTCCTTGAAACTATCAGAGCTCCTACTTGCAAGAATTGAAAGGAAACTTTAGCAAGTAGGTCTTTAGGTTTTAGTTTAAGAAGCCTGTGGTGTGATGCCCATGGCTCCTCAGCTAAGCACATGCACCAAATGCTTGAACCTTAAAAGTCTTCATAATATGAATGTTTAGTGGTTGCATATCCACAATTTCTGTTTTGCATTTGATCATTTTCATGTCCATTGGCTGGGATTTCATAAATCCTTAGAGATGACAAACTCTCTCTGCAGCAGACTCTGGCACTCTCAGGTGTGCTCCTGCTGGGCTGGGCCGAGCCTTTTAGAGAGGCCAGACAGAGACTGCTGCAGAGACTGGTGAGCTTGGCATCGCCCAGGTGGCCCTTCAGCTGCCTTTTCTTGGGTATGTACCTCATAGTCAGCCTATTAAAATGAACAAGTTGGATGAAAATGGCAATTTAGATCAAAATCCTTAAAACTGCATTATCCTTTAACTCAAAATTTCCACTTTTAGCAGAAAAATCATCACACATTTACACAAAGACTGATATGGATATTCCTAAGCAGTATTGTTTACAGTGACAACAATCTAGAAATAATGTTTCGGCAATAGGGTAATAGTTAAATAAAACTGAACACCTTGCACTTAATAAAAAGTGTAATTTAAATCTATTAAATTGGGGAGAAGATCCCTATATGCTAAAAGAGAAAAACAGATTACAAAAAAAGTAACACCATATGATCCCATTAAAAATAATTTGTTTCCATGCAGAAAAATCTGGAAAGGTATATGTACATCAAAGTTATCTTTAGGTGCTGGGATAATGGGTGATTTAATTTTTCCTCAGCTCTATAAATTTTCTACCTGAATGTACATTAATCATCTGACCTGCTGAAGGAGGGAAAAGTAAAAGGAGACTAAGAGTCAGTATCCTCAGGTAGAATGAGCCCACTGGTGAAGTGCAGTGGGCTGAGTGGCTTCTTTGTTCTTACAGGTTGACCAAAGTGGTTCGCAGAAGTCTCATCAATCTTGGCCGAGCCATCAAAGGGCAGGTCCTGATGTCCTCAGAGTTAGAGGATGTCTTCAATAGCATGCTTATGGGTAAAGTGCCAACCATGTGGATGGTCAAGTCCTACCCATCGCTGAAGGCCCTGGGGGGCTATGTGGCTGACATGCTGGCCCGCCTGGCCTTCTTCCAGGTACTTGGGAATCAGAATTAACTGGGCTCTTGGCATGCTCATTCAGGTAGAGAGGTCATTCTGAAATGACAAAGTAGAGGCAGAGGAAGTAGATGAGGCAGCGATGCAGCACCCTGGATTGAGTTCCTACTGGAAAGATATTCCCAGAGTTGAGGGCAGGAGGGAGTTCAAAGTTCTTGGAAAGATAGTAGCCTATGGACGCAAGAGTAGAAACTATTATAAATGTCACAAACTAGTGGCTCATGGGCCAGATTTGGCTAAAAGAAATGTTTTGTTTGGCTGCCTGGTAATTTAAAAATTTTGAGCTAGCATGTAAACATTGGATTATTACACATAAATATCAAGATGCTTGCCCTGAAAAAAAAAAAAAGATTTGAACTTCCGCCAAGATGGAGGCGTAGGTGGAAGCACTTCGCCTTCTCACACAACCAACTTTAAAAACAACAAAGTTTTAGCAACAAACATGCAGCCAAACCACAGAAAATTGAACAACACGGAAGTCTGACAACAACAAACCCTTCAGCCAAACCAGTAAGAGGGGCAGAGCCAGCAGCAGAGCAGGGTGGGGCAGGAAAGATCCACCAGACTGACCGGGGCATGCGATCCAGGTGTGCCAGCAGCTGTGGGCGGATCCCAGGTGTGTAGAAGCAGGTGGACCCACTGAGGGTGCAAGGTGGTGGACCTACTGAGGGCGGAATGTGGTCATACTTTCGTGCACAGATAAACCGGTGAAGATGCTAGCAGTGGTGAGAAGGACCGCGCAGGCCCCAGTGGTGGAAAGCAGCAGAGAGAACCGCCATTGTCCCTCTCTGACCCCGCCCCCACACACAGCATCACAAACCAGAGACCTGGGCGGCCTCTCTCTGACCCGCCCCCACATACAGAGTCACAAACCAGTGACCTGGGTGGCCCCGCCCTGGTGAACAACTAAGGCTCCGCTCCTCATACATAACAGGCACGAACAGATCAAAACATGGCTCAAGAACAACTCAGAGCCCCAGAGCCAATAAATCTAAGCGACCAAGAAATAGATAAACTTTCAGATGCACAGTTCAAAACACTGGTGATCAGGATGCTCACAGAACTGGTTGATTATAGTCACAAATTAGAGGAACATATGGGAGCTAAACTAATTGAAATGAATGGAAATGCACAGGAAACCAATAGTAATGGAAAGGAAACTGGGACTCAAATCAAAGGAGTGGACCAGAAAGAGGAAAAAATGTCCCAACAGAAAAGAATGTAGAAACAAGAATTCAAAAAAATGAGGAGAGGCTTAGGAACCTTCAGGACATCTTTAAACGTTCCAACATCTGAATTATAGGGGGTACCAGAAAAGGAAGAGGAACAGTCACGAGTGGAAACCTTATTTGAACAAATAATAAAGGAGAATTTCCCTGTTCTGGCAGAGGAAATAGACTTCCAGGAAATCCAGGAAGCTCAGAGAGTCCCAAAGAAGGTGGACCCAAGAAGGAACACACCAAGGCACATCATCATTACATTAGCCAAGATTAAAATGAAGGAGAGAATCCTAGAAGCAGCAAGAGATAAGGGGACAGTCACCTACAAAGGAGTTCCCATCAGACTGTCAGCAGATTTCTCAAAAGAGACCTTACAGGCAAGAAAGGGGCTGGAAAGAGGTATTCCAAGTCATGAAAAGCAAGAACCTACACCCAAGATTGATCTATCCAGCAAAGCTTTCATTTACAATGGAAGGGCAGATAAAGTGCTTCTCAGATAAGATCAAATTCAAGAAGTTCATCATCACCAAGCCCTTATTATATGAACTGTTAAGGGGACTTACTTAAGAAAAAGAAGATAAAAAAAGATGAACAGTGAAAGGACAGCAAACTCACAGTTATTAACCACCACACCTAAAACAAAAGCAAACTAAGAGGACAGCTAAGTCAGAAGCAGAACCATAGAAATAAAGATCACACAGAGGGTTAGCAACTGGGGAGTGGGAGAAGGAGAAGGGGGGAGAAGGTACAGAAAATAAGTAGCATAGATGGTAGGTAGAAAATAGATGGGGGGGAGGGCAAGAACAGTAGGGGAAATATAGAATCTAAAGAACTTGAGACACATGGTCATAAGCTAAAGGGGAGATGGTGGGGGAGAGGGAGTGCAGGGTGGAGGGGAATGAAGGGGGAAATAGAACAACTATAATGGCATAATTAATAAAATATATTAAAAAAAGGATTTGAAACATTACCGTATTCTTGTATGGCAACTGTTGCTGCGGGAGTGGTTGTTACTCAGTCCTGGACACCAGCTTGCCCAGAGTTTTTCTTCAAGTAGAAACATAATTCTTTGTATCTTCATTTCAAAAGTGGGAAAACAGAGGCTAAACTGAGAGGCTCTGTTTCAAGAAAAAAGAGAAAAAACATTGCTTACTAGGACTTATTTACATTACCTGCCTTTGAACCATCTTTGATTTTGTTAATTGATTGTGAATTATTTCTGTGGCCCTCCAGAACTGGATTGACAGTGGACCCCCTGTGGTCTTTTGGATCTCTGGATTCTACTTCACACAGTCTTTTTTAACGGGTGTCTCTCAGAATTATGCCCGGAAATACACCATCCCAATTGACAACATTGGATTTGAATTTGAGGTAGGTGTGCTTTGGGTAAGGTCAGCCCAAGGGATCAAGCAGAAAAGCCAATGTTGCCCATTTCCTTAATAGTTTAAGCATTTGGATGTGTTAAGGCACAAATACTTCTGAGATGGTACAACTGAAATGTTTAGCATGACTTATGTTAGTTCCAAAAGTTATTCCTGACAGAGGATTCCCAAGGCTTTATCTCTGTATATAAAAAGATTCTTTCCAGAAGAAAAATCAGCCACCATGATACCAAGAAAAATATAAGAATTCTTCCATGCTATTTAACATGGTGCACCCAAACCATTTGGAATGATGTTAATGGTGTTCGGTGGTCCTTTGCTTGGAGTAAAGTTAAAGGAATAGCCAATTGTCAAGTATCACTCTGCACATACTACATAGAGTGAATAGAGCAAGATGAACTGTAATAGAGCACTGTAAAAATTAAAATTCTGTGGAAAGGTCTTTTGTGATCTAGACCAGAGGTCACAAACTGGTTGCCCTAGGTTTCAATTTAGTTTATGAATAAACTTAACTTGATGGACCTTTGAAGACAATGTTAAGCCAAAATTATTACTGTAAAAAATATCATAACTGGGGTAAACATTGGAAAAAACATAAAATCATATATTTTTTGTTGTTGAAATGATTGTATACTTAGAAATCCTAGAAGAATTTGTAAGGTAACTGGTTAAATTTACAAAAATCAATAGCTTCTTCCTATTATAGCAATAAGTACTTAGAAATGGGAGAAAAAAGATTAATAATAGATTAGAAAAGATAGATTAAAAGGTAAATAGATAAAAAGATAAAGAATAGATTAGAAAAAGATAATAAAAAAGATTAGAAAATTTGAATGATTTTAAATCATTCAAATGATTTGGTTTACCATAATCCCAACAGTCCCTATTCCTGTAAACCTACATTATTTTCTGCACTTACCTGAAGAAATTTGAGATTTTTACTAACTCTGAATCTAAATTGTGGGGGCTTGGAGCTGTATCCCACCAACTCACCAGAGCCAGCTGGAGCTAACTGTTAAATAGCTGACAGCCTGAAATTGACTGTGGTAGAAGTCTGTACAGTACAGAAATTGACAAAAACTAGAAAAAAGGCTTTATTTCTGCCTCCAGATAACTGTTTTACTAGTATGCATATGAATCTAACTCCTCACTTTATAGATCCAGGTTCAGAGACAGGAAGGATTGTGCAAGGTCACTAAACTAGTTGCTATGAGTTAATGTGGACTTCTGGTTCTGACTTCTAGTTCAGTGCATTCTCTGCCTGCCATAGAGGTGCCACCTAGAAATCTCACCTGGCCCATGTATGGTAGGCAGGAATATTATCGTAGAAGCCCCTATGACATAGAAGTGTCCTGGGAGGTATATCCTGGGAACGGCAGACATTGTAGCCAGTCTACACTTTTCCAGACTCTTAAAAGGTGGAAAATAGCAGATTACAAAACTCACAGCTTCCTCTTTCAGGTAACCACCCAAGAAGCCATCATGGAGAGTAACCCAGAAGATGGGGCCTACATAAAAGGACTCTTCTTAGAAGGAGCTCGTTGGGACAGGAAACGGATGCAGATTGAGGAATCTCTCCCTAAAATCCTCTATGACCCGTTGCCCATCATTTGGCTGAAACCAGGGAAAAGTGCAATGTTTCTCCATCAGAACATTTATGTGTGTCCAGTCTATAAAACAAGTGCCCGGAGAGGCATCCTCTCTACCACAGGCCACTCTACCAACTACGTCCTGTCCATTGAACTTCCTACAGACAGGCCCCAGAAGCACTGGATAAACCGAGGGGTAGCCTCTTTATGCCAGCTGGATAACTGATGGTATCTCTCTCAGCATAAAAAATAAAAGGCATTTCATTCTCGATTACTAAGTTTCCTTTCTTGAGAGTGACATGGTATGATGATGACAGTGATGATGATGAGGTATTAACAGCACACTTGCTGTGAGCAAGGTATTTCAGTGTAGCCCCATAAAGTAGTTGTTTTTTTTTTAATCCTTACCCAAGGACATTTTTTTCCCATTGCTTTTAGAGAGAAATGGAGACAAACACTGATGTGAGAAATATCAGTTGGATGCCTCCTGTATGCACCTGGACCAGGGATCATATGTACCCAAACCAGGGATAGAACCCACAACCTAGGTATGTGCCCTGACCAGGAATTCAACCTTTGAGCTACAGGATGACACTCCAACCGAGCCACATCAGCTAGGGGCTAGGTTGTTATTATCCTCATTTTATGGCTACAGAAACCATGATACAGGGAACACAGCTACTTGAACAGTGGAGCTTGGACTGAACACAGGCCATGGGAGTCTTCAACTAAGAACTTTCGCCATGTAGCTAAGCTCCCTGTGGCTACTTTTCTTGCATTGTTTTACTGTAACTGTCATGTTTTAATTGCTTCTTTCTTAGTCCATTCATTTGGGCTAACACTAGGGCCTGTCAGAAGTTGAAAGAGGCTGTGCCACTTTTGTTTTTTAAGGCTCTTGAGATTTAAAATTTATTACTCACAACATCTTACGTGGTAGGTAGGTATTACCATCTGCATTTTAGAGATGTAGAAATAGAGGCTTAGAAAAGTAACAAGTCCAAAGTCCCACAGCTGTCGGTGGTAGCACTGGAACCCAAATGTTTCTCTACTAGCCACTGGGGATAAAACCTACAACCTAGGTATGTGCCCTAACTGGGAATCAAACCCACCACCTTTTGGTAAGTGGGACAAGGTTCCAACCACTGAGCAACTCACTCACTCATGTAGCTCTTTGGCTCTAAGTATGTTATGTCATTTATTTTCAGGATATTCCATTGATGGGTTTGTAACTGAGGGAGATAAAGCTGTTTAAGTCTTAATGTGTATGACTGGCTGCTTCATTTCACTAGAAGAAATGTCCTGACTCAGAGTCCTTGATTTCTTCTGCACGTGGGAAGCTTCTGAGAAACATATTTTGAAACCTCATTTCTTCATGGGAACACAGTGCCAATCAAAATCTGATTTCAGGACTCTGAGTTAAGAAATCAGCAAACCAGCTAAGTGATACCAGAGAAAAAGTGCTAATAGGGAGTTTTGATCTGACCAGGGGCAATCAAGATACAAGAGGAGCCAGTCTCCTTCCCTTCAAAGTAGAGGTTAGCTTCCCTGCCCTGCCCCGCCCCCCTCTCCAGAAACCAAACTTTTTCTCATGGGGGAAAATATCAGAATGGATAGACAGCTGGAACTGCCTTATCATTCCAAGTGAGACTGTTAGTCATATGAGATGAAAGATGGTTGGGATCCCAAATCTCTGAATCTTCAGATGGTTTGGATAAGTCACATTGCAAGCTGCAAGGCACAGAGGGAGGTGCTAAGACAACTGAATTTAAAATTTTAACTACAGTTACCTAACTCCCTCTTCAGCAACAAAAGCTGAGGGAGGCAGGCACTGGCTGTTTCATTCACCAGGGGTCGAGGGACAGAATGTTTCTGTACAAAAGATTAAATTTTTGTAATTACAAATTTTCCTACACTTTGAAAAGAAAGACTGCCACAAGTATGAGGTTTAATGTGATTTATTAAAGTCTCTCCCTGGAAAAGAACAGTATGTTCTTCAGAAGTCCTAGTGAGTCAGAGGTTAGAGTCCTAGGACAGAGATGGCCAGAGGTCAGTTCAGTGAGAAGCTGTCAGCCCTGCCTACAAATAGCTCAGCAGATGAAATCAGAACCCTTGTCACCATGCTACTCTTTACTGTTTACAAATCTACTTTTGGGGTAGTTTTTAGTTCTTGTCAGTATTTGGAGGAAAGTACATGGAGAGAAGGGATGTGGAAAGATAGGCTCTGCCTTTAAAAAACTAAATGATGGAGTCCTAGCTGGTGTACCTCAGTGGGTTGAGCATGGGCCTGTGAACCAAAGGGTTGCTGGTTCAATTCCCAGTTAGGGTACATCCCCATGTTATGGGCCAGGTCCCCAGTGGGGGGCATGTGACAGGCAACCACACACCAATGTTTCTCTCCCTTTTTCCTTCCCTTCCCTCCTCTTTAAAACTAGGTAAAAATCTTTAAGAAATATAAATTATTAGACTTCTGGCCAAGATGGAGGTGTAGGTGAAAATACTGTACCTCCTCACACAACCAAATTTTAGGACAACGAAGATTTAGAAACAAAAACACAAGCAGAACAGACAGAAAATTGAACTGTACCAAGTTCAACAACAACAAACCAATAATTGAGACCGGTAAGAGGGGTGGAGTCGGCGGCCAGTGCAGAGGGGTCCTGGCAGGAAGAGGCAGTGGTTAGCAGACCCAGGTACGAGGAAGAAACGATCAAATCCAGTGAGACATGCAAGGCGGTTGGCTGACCAGACACACATTGGTGTGAAGATAAACCAGGCGAAAAAAGGGGCAGTGAGACAAACCGCGCAACCCAGAGCCCCAGCAACAGGAAATAAAGCCTAAAAGCACCAACTGAAAAAACTTGTGGGGGTGAAGGTGCCAGGAGAGACTCCCAGCCTCACAGGAGAGTTTGTTGGAGAGACCTACAAGGTCCTTGAATGTACACAAGCCCACTTACCATGGAACCAGCACCAGAAGAATCCAATTTGTTTGTGGGAAGCAGCAGAAAGGACCAAAATCCAAGAGAGAGAGCAGAGCAAGTGCCATTGTTCCCTCACTGACCCTGCCCCCACATATACCATGATAACCCAGTGATGTGGGTTGCCCCGCCCTGGTGAACTTGTATAAAACCCTACCTAAATGCATTCCCC